TCGCTCGAAGCGGCGGCCGAAATGCTCCCTGACTATACAGCGCATCTGGCAAGACCGAAGCCGTCCGAGGTCAACGTCGACACCTTGATTGACGAGACTGGGACCGACACGCACACCTTCATATCGGCATTGCACGAGAACTATGCTCTATCCTGCGAGCAGAGCAGCCTGCTGGACCCAAACTCCTCGCTCGACTACATCAACGGGTGTCTGGACAACCTGTCAGAAAGCGACCTTCTCTGCCCTTCCTGGGACATCTTTTTCGGGGGAAGAGGGTCTGGCGGGGGATTCGGCGGCAAAGACTCGGGCAGTCACATCCTACGGCAGGATGAGATGGCGTTCCAAGTTGCCGTCCGAGGACTGCTTTTCTCGCTGCCGTCGCCCGTAAAACGGCAGACGCACCCTACCGGCCGCGGGGGAGACTCGTTCAAGATGTTCTACCCGGCCTACCTCAAACTGTGGAGGGCTAGGGAGGAGCTGGAGGGCCTCACCGACATGTGGGCCACGAAGATGTTAAAGGGTGAAGATGGTGTACTGGCACCGTCGCAAAACGGCCTGAACTTCGCCAATGGGTCATCTGCTTTTCGGAAGACCAAGGTAAACAGTGTGGAGAGCTGGGCAACTGGCGGCCAGAAGCGCGCGGTGAAACCCGAGACGCAGGATGGTGCCCCAATCGCGCCGCTGCTATCGCTGGGAAGCTCGGCGCGGCAGGAGATGGTGCTCGAACGGCTCCCGTACATGGCCCACATTGCACGGCGACGGCGGTGCACATTTGGCTCCATGCGGCTGAAGGATCTCGATAGAATCGTGTCCTTCCGGGGCATTGGGCCGCCAAAGACGGAGGAGTCGGACGACGAGCAGGACGACGGGGGGGCTCTGGCGGCTGAGGCCTGGGCGACAGACAAGCCCACCGAAGGCCCCGGCAGTCCGCAGAAGAAGGGTCTGGGAGCTATCCTCAACCGGTCGAGGGCCAAGGCGGATGGCTACGAGACGCCGATGCTGCCGATGCAGAGCTTGGTGTTGAGCGATGATGATATTGAGGATGATTGATGGTAGATAGGACAAGGCGGTGGATAGTGCGCTGGATGACTGGGTTGTATGGGTGGATGGATGGATGGATGGACAGGTACTTAGGACATTTGCTGGAGTGTATCATATGGGTTTTCGGCGGACATGCGCGCTCACTCGGCTTTTCTTCTTCTTTTTTTTCGTTTTTCTCGGCGTCATTGGTTCGGTTCCTCCGCGAGCGGAAGTGGGAAAGGCGTTGGGAGATATTAAGTCTAAGGCTGATGCAAAAGAAGGGAAGCGGAAGCATCGGGCCGTGATTTACAGCAAACGATCCGTATACTAGAATATCACTCACTCTTCTTGACATCTTGAGGTTTTGCTGTTGTGATGATTCGTGGTGGTGGTATTGATTAATTTGGTTGCGATGTTTGTTTACAATGTCTTCGTTCGTCTCGAGTTGAAAGATCGCATACATTTCTGTATTCTGCATTAGACCTCCAAGCTATTGAGCCAAAGCAGGCAGAGCTGATCTCGCTGCTTCAATCTATCGAAAACAAAATCATGATCGAGTCCTTACCGGGAACGGTACCCGAGTCCCAAGCAATCGAAATCTCGTCACTCGTTGCCCAAAACATGCAAAGTCAAACCAGTCCACGCCCCTTTCTTGTCTGGGTCGGTAGGGGGTAAAAGCATCAGTGAACGCACTGACCTGCTCTGCTTCCGTGCCCCACCCAGCAACAAAGGTGGGTGCGTGCGTGAAGCTGGGGTCAGGGTCATAGGGCAGATTGCCAGTCGATCCTATCGGAGTGAGCCTGCCCAATCGAACTCATCTCCTGCCTTTTACCGGATGTGACCGTGGGTTGGCTCGAAAAACTCCAATACCTCAATCTTTGGAAACACATCTTCTCTGGACATCCAGACTTCGATTCATTTTTGTTCCGCTTTTCAATTTATTTTTTCTATTTGCATTTTTCGATTTTGTTTTCTTTTCACTATCTGTTCGACTACATGCTTGTTTCTGTCCTGTTTTGTGCAAGAAGCTTTTTTTATTTTTTATTCTTTTTGTTATTGTTGTGAGATTATTCTTTGTCCTTTACGACGCACTCTGTTTCTTCGCGCCAGAATCTCAACATACCACCCACCCACCACAGTGGTCTCCTCACTTTGCAGCTGGACGCTTGAATACTCGATACTCGATGATCTTTAATTTGATATCTGGGTCGGCGATTGTGACGCCTACGTGGTGACATGTTCGACTGCTCTTCTCCGCATGCATCGTTCAAGCACACAACACTGCGCCGGTAGCTTCAGATCAGTTTAACGCCTGCGCACACTTGCTATTCCAGATCCCAATCGCTTTATATATATATATATATATATATATATGAATGCTCATCATGCATCTAGCAATGCTGCCAATTCCAAGGTATTTGATATGTACACACGACCTCAATGCCACCCAGCTGTATGAACACGGGAAAGGACTTGCGAACGGATGTCCAGTTTCTATTTCCAAGAAATCATGTAATCCGAAAACCAAGCTCTCACATCCCGCCGTACGTTTGACATATAGCTCACAACTTTATAACCTGGGCTTCCCCGACTCGGCCCCCGGCTGCACGGCCTGCACGAGCTCCCACGCGAACCTGGCCAGCGGGGCGCGGGCCTCGCCATACCGCCGGGCCTTTTCGCTGCTCGCCTGGCGGCCGGCCTGCCTGGCCGCGATGCCCTGGCAGATGGCGGCGAGGCGGAACATGGAGAAGGACATGGCCCACTGCAGCTCGCGCTTGCGCTCCTGGTCGTCGGCCGACTTCTGGCTGTTGTGCAGCGACAGCTCGAGCGCCGACTTGGTCTGCGGGTCGACGACCGAGTAGTACAGCCGCGTGATCTCATCGGGCGTAGGCAGACCGCGGGTCGCGCGCGGGAGGAAGCCCGGGTGCACGTTGACGGCCTTGGACGGGTCGAGGCGGGCCGTGAAGTAGGGCGTCAGGAGGTTGGAGAGGTCCGAGAGGGGATGGCCGATTGTGGACATTTCCCAGCTTTTGCGTGGGAACGTGGTTAGCACAGAAAGAGGAAAGCTGGGATGAGAGAGAGACGCGAGAAAACTCACTCAAGGATACCAATGACTCTCGGCTCTGTCTTGTGGAATACGAGATTGTCGATTTTGAAGTCTCCATGCACGAGGGTCCCGCGGTCCGCCGGCTGCTGCTTCTCGTCGGCGAAGAAGCGCATCATGGGTTCAAAGTACGGCAGCTGTCCCACCGCCACGCGCGTCTCGACATCCTCAACCCGGGCCTGCGCGTCGCAGATGGTCTTCCATGTGGCGATCTGGCGGTTATAGAAACCCGTGCTCTTGCCAAAGTTCTCCAGCCCGACCGAGCGGGGGTCGATGCGGTGCAGCTTGGCCAGGACGCGCACGGCGTCGCTCCAGATGGCTCGCCGTTCGTCGGGCAGCACGTTGGGGATTATGGGGTCTTCGAAGATGCGCCCGTCGAGGAAGGACATGATGTAGAAGGGCGTGCCGATGATGGACGGGTCTTCGCAGAGGCAGTAAGCCTTGGGCACAGGCACGTCGGTCGACGCGAGGGCCGCGATGATGCGGTATTCCCGCTCGACCTTGTGCGCCGTCTTGGATAGCAGCTGCCCGGGGGGCTTCTTGCGGAGGACGTAGCGTCGGCCATCGGCGGCCGTCAATTGGTATGTCGGGTTGGACTGGCCAAAGCCAAACTGCTTGATGTCCAGCGGCACCTCGATCTCGGGCACCGTCTTGCTGATCCAGGCCTCCAGCGCCCTCATGTCGATTGGATGGCGGACTCGTCCTGCCATGGTCGGTCGATCGGTCGGTCGCTCGGTCTGTTCCGGGGAGTCGATGTTTCGGGGGAGCGGTCAAGGCCGAGGGGTGGGTGGCTAGGTGGGTCTCCTGTCAATGTCGGGCAAGGGTGAGGCGACAATAACGGTGACGAGCAGGTGTTGTTTGTTATCGTTGTTGTCTTGTTGTTGCTGTTCTGTTGTCCACTGCCAAGCAATGCCGTGCAACGAACGGTCTAGACTAAGGTCGAGTAGGTGGTGCCTGAGAGTGATGGAGGCAAGAGGAAGCCGTTGTCGTCTCGTCGTCACCGCTTGTTGCTATTTTCGCCCAATAAGAGAGGTTTCCTTGGCGCCCCAAATGACAACTGGCAGCGATTCTCGGAAGGATGAATAACAGGACATCTCCATCTCCTCAACCGCGGCGGCGCATCCGGAAAGGCATGGGGCGAGATGGCATTGGCAGGTATTCACTAGTGTAGCAGCAGATGGGGAGGTTCCAGGTTGCCGGTTCGGCACTCAGCGTGCAAAAGGTGGATTTAAGCCGAGGTCCCAATTCCTTGCCCGTCGACAGGTTCCAGCTGCTTGGGGGTACCTTTCCTTGGAAAACCTGGGGCGGCACGCGCGGGACCATTTTCCAGGTTGGGGAAATGAATGCCGGCGGCCAATGCCAAGAAGCCCATCCCCCATCCCCGCTGCAACCGGCGGCCCACCTTATTAGCTAAACCTACCTGAACTAAAACCTGACCGTCCACCGTTGCACCTTCATTCATTTCCATGCACTCTGTTTTGACAATGTCTCTTTGCGCAGGTTCAAACTGAGATCCTTAAATTGAATTCGTTTGTTACTTAGCAGGTTTGGAAAAGGTTAAAGAAACCCCTCGCCGCTTCGACTGCGACTTTAGAGACAATAGAACGCAGCAAGACCAAAAAAGAAGAGCACAGTGGTGAAAAGAGGAACGGTTATAGATCATGTAAAGAAAGGCCCACGTGAGGCTTCTGTCCAGGCAACCTCAACTACCATGTACCTTATTGAAGTCGGGAGTGCTTCTAGGTTGCCAAAACATACGCCGATCAATCGCCTGACATCGTAGATGTTTACTGTGACAGTAACCCATAAATCATTAGGTTTCCCAGCCTGGGCTACCTAAACATACCTACCGCGATTGGCACTCAACAACATCGAAGGTCACGTAGTGTAGTGGTAAGCACTTCGGATTTTGATTCCTGGAAATCTTCCGACAACCCCGGTTCGAACCCGGGCGAGACCTTATTCCAAGCGTTACTTTTTTGTTTCTACACATCACAGCCGGTTGTTTTCTTTTTGGGTTTCTCATCTTCTTTGTACAGCGGCACCTGTTGGGAATGAAAGTCCTGAAGCCATGTACGTCAGAAGGGATGCTCTTGGTGGGAGCTGGACTCAAACAGTGCTGCCAGCTTGAGAGGATTCGACAATGTCAACATCAACAACAATAACACCCGCTGCCCCTTTTCATCTCCGCTAGCTCATCCAAGCCAATGTGCAGGGAGATGAACAAAGAGCACACTTTTGGTGTGCGCGTGAAATACCCGCGTCAACATTCAGCATTGACGTCGATGTAGCTTACAGTCGGATTCCTCGATGTTGCATTGTTTCCTCGAATTGCTCTCTGTTGCAGAAAGGGGTGGTTGGGCAGACGAGACAAATGTTATAAGAAGAAAAGATGAAAAGACCACTCCATTCATGGCTCAACTTCGGACTATGGTGTTGCCAATCTGTTTGCTTCAATGTTCCTATGTCCCGGACTCGTTCATTTGCTCCAATTCCTTCATCGTGTCTTACTCTTTCTCTCTCTCTCACGCAATTCATTCCTTCATTCTCTCAGCTTGCCGAAGATAATCTTCCCCTGCCAAGTTTCCGTGCCTGGTTCTGAAAACCAAACCTTCGTTGTGATCGTAAATGGAAAAGGAAAACACGAAGCCTTCATATGAAAGGGAAGGAAGGTTGTCTGGGGCAAACATCATATGAAATGCATACATCCCCGTTTAGCAGATTCTCACAAAGGAGACGCGCAGCAAACCGTGGATCCTTTGCTCGCATTCTGCGCTCTGCTCTGCTCCGCTCCGCTCTTCCGGTCCATCCACCAAACCCACACTGTGTCCCCTCTGATCGTGGCCCCTAGAATGTCCCGCAGGATGGCCAATCGCCATTTGCTGCTCAGAAGCGAGTAGCCCGAATATGCAAATAGTCAAGACATCCACGATTTCGTTGGGATCCCTAACTCCGCAGCCCAAACATTGCCTTGACGCCGGTCCGAAGAAGCAAAAGAAAGAAAAAGAAAAAAAGCAAAAGAAAACAGACCTCATGGGCAGTGCGAAGAAATCTATAATGATGTCGTCATGAAAAGATAAGAGATAAGCGGTGGATATTCTGTCGTGTGTAACGTCTTGTTGGGCCCCAGCCCGAGCCCTCAAACCGCGGTAATAAGATCGAGGAGAAAGAACAGCAATCTAGTGGCCGGCCCTGCCACACACCAGTCACCAATGGATGATACTGAGTCTCTATGAGAGCCAAGCCTCGGAAGAGGGGTACGGAGGGCCGTTAATCGCATCCGAGACACTTGAAAGACCCTGCCCGTCAAGAGCAACAACCGGGGGAAGCTGCTGTGAGTACGCGGCCAGTTGGGCGGGGCCGGGTAGATGGCCTTCGCCGGCCTGTGCGTCGAGCGAATTGGGGTACTGCTGGCCATCGACCGACGAGTTCATCAATGGTGCTGGTGCAAAGCCGATCATCAATCGACCCGCACTTAGTGACGGCGGGTTCAAACCCAATGGCTCCATAGATTGGAACGGCGGCATGTTGGAAGGCCGGGCTATTGCCCCGCTGTAGTTGTAGGGGCGGTGACTACTGCCCGGGGGGAACTGTCTCGGGAATAGTGGTGTCAGTGCTTGGCGTTGATCGTATGGAAACGGATACCAGTGAGGCGGAAGGTTAGGGGGATTTACACGCTCACGAGCCGAGCTCGGTTGCAGAGGTGCCGCCGGAGCTGATCCTGGGTGTGCGGTCTGGCGTGGGCTGTTGGTGCTCGTGGATGACGAGCTTCTAAAGGTGCTGTGTCTAGGCCTGGTCCTCCTCCGGCTGTCTGAAGCCTCCGAAGGTGGTGACCGGCGTTCCCCGGTCGCCCAGCCTCTCGATGGGTTGTCATACGCTCGCTCTTCCCGCTGACTCATGATGCGGACCAGCTGCTCATCCGAGCTACAATGAAAGCAAGCGAGAATGTAAGCAAGGGCTGGGGGCCATGGACTTCGACGGAAGAAACCTACGACATTGCTCTTTGCCCATTGACACGATTGTAGGCAAATCTCGGCTGGGAAACTTGCGAGCGGAGGAACTCGCGGATGGCCTGGGCATTGGAGGGCAGCGCAGGTTCCGAATGAACCTTGTCACGGCAGTAGGGGCAGCTATCCGACTCTTCGAACCACTTTTTGATGCAGTGATCGCCAAAGATGTGCTTGCAGCTCGGCAGCCGGAGCGGCGCTTCGTTAATACCCTCGGGGTTTGGCACGCCAAACTCGTTGTAGCAGATAACGCAAGCTGGGAGGGCCAGTCAGCTATCTGTCGACCAATACGGCGGACGCATCAGTGAGAGCAACTTACTTCGCTCACTCTCCTCGAGAGTGTTCATATCGACACTCTGCAGCTGGCTCAGAGCTTTTTTCGATGCTACTCGCTTGTTGGATATCTGGCCACGGAGCAACTGCTGGGCGCGGACCCGGGCCTCATCCAACTCGCGCTGATAGGGGTTTCCATGTGTTTGAAGCTGCTCGATAAGCCGCATAGTCTGCTCCTCTCCCAGCTGATCTGGGTCTGGTTCCTCCTCGCTGTCGTATTCCGAGTTCTGGGAGGTCGGCACCCGTGCTATTCTCGGTCGGGTTGAGAAGTTTCGGCGTCGCTCCGGATCTGGGGCACCGGTGGTGGAAGAAAGCTGGGGCAAGGCGGTGTCGGGGTCCGAGGCAGCAGCCGGATTAGAACTGGCTTCTCTTGGTGGAGGCTCTTGGCCGCCAGGCAGCGTCTCTCGGGGCACCGGCTGGCCAGCTGCTGGTGACAACGAACTGTTCCCGGCACCTCGACCCTGTTCCCGCAGACCCTCGTCCTCGTTCATGAAGTGCAGCGGGCGGCTGGGGGAGGGGACGGGACTCGACTCTCCCGAGCTCGACATGGCGTGGGGTTGCGGATGCTGGTGCTGATGGTAGTGATGTTGCTGCTGCGACTGACCCTGAGCCGAGGCTAGGTTAGGGTGTAAGGCCGGGAGACTGATTCGATGCGATGCCGGGTTCTGGGTGGGGAGTGCCCTCTCAGTGCTAATCGGCATTTGCTGCTGCTGCTGCTGCTGCTGCTGGTTGAGGAGGTTTGAATGAAGCTGCGGAACGACGAGAGGAGGTCCTGGGAAGCGGTGGATGCTGCTGCTGTTGTTGTTGTTGTTGTTGTTATTGCTACTGCTGCTGCCGCTGTTGTTGCTGTTATTGTTGGGCGGATGGCGAAAAGCAAACGGAAACGGAGGAGGAGAGAAAGGGTCGTGGTGGGAGAGGTGAGGCGGCGGCGGTGGTTGGCTGTGTATTAATCCAGGCTGTATGGGACCACTGCCAGGGCCACTGCCAGTGCCTGGCGCACCCCCCGCACCTTGACCACCTTGGCTGCCACCGCCACTTTGGCTGGAGCCGCCGCTCGACTGGCCGGGGGAAAAGTATGCCTCCGATGCCGATGCTCGTAAATGCGGCAAGGGCTGGTGTGAGGATATGTTCACGGGGACGGAGACGGGGACGGGGACGGGCCACGGGAAAGATGGATTGGTCTGGTACCAGGAATTGTTGAGGGTGGCAGCATGCACTGGGTCGTAATGAGGGGCTGGATGTGAATGCGAATGCGAATGTGAATGCGAATGCGAGTTAAAGTTTGAGTTTGTGTTGCGGATGCCGCTCAAGCTCTGATGTGCGGAATGAGATTGGGGCTGAGGTTGCGGCTGTGGCTGCGCTTGAAGGTGAATATGAGGTTGCTGGTGGTGGTGTTGATGGTAGTGTTGGTGGTGATGCGGGAGCTGCTGCTGCTGCTGGTGGTGGTGCGGATAAGGAAGGGTCGATGGGTTGTGCCCGTGGTGGTGCTCATTCCGGAGATAAGGGCAGCCCTGGGGCGGACCCGAGTTCTGGAACTGAGCTCGAGCTTGAGCTTGTGCTTGTGCCTGGGCCTGGGCTTGCGAGGAAGGCGCCGAGGAGGAAGACGGGGAGGAAGAGGAAGAGGAGGAGGAGGAAGCCGAAGCCTCGGTGTTATGCATCACATAGTCCATGTCGTCCATTTTCGCCAACGAAAGCCGGTCTACCCCTCCACGACACCCCAACGACCAATATGCCGCCTAGAGCTGCCTGGTAGGTTAGGCGTTTGCCTGCCTGCCTGCACAGCTCAGCCCAGCCGGGTCGGTCGGTCGGTCGGTCGGTCGGTCGGTCTGTCCCAGTTTCAATTCGATGCGGCTGCAATCACAACGGACACCTGCAGCAAACTCCCGGACATCCACCCCAAGCTCTTCTTTTCCTTTCCTCTTCTCAGGGATCTCTGCTTATCGTTTCCTGCGTTTTTCCCCCTTCGGATGCGTCGGTGTGTCTGAGAAGCCGGGTTCAGCGTTGTTGGGTTTCAAGGGCAGTGGCAGCGTCTTTCTTTGCCTCGGGCGGAATTGACTCGATCGTCCAGCAGAGCGGACGAAAATGCCGTCGAGCTGCCGATTTGCCGATCGGCCGAGCTTGCGAGAGCGGTGGAAATGGAGGCGTCTCCGTGTGTGGTGTGGCTGGCAAAAGCTCTGGACGCTCAAGGATGAATGAGGTGAGGGATCCTTATTCACAATGGCGATCAAGTCCCAAAAGCCCGGCTGTTGGTTTATTGGTTGGTGGGCGGGCCTGATATCGTCAGCGACCCAGTCTTTGGTCCGGTCCTGGGCCAAGACTTGGTTGTCACTCACCCGTTCGCCGGTGAATCAGCGGGAGGCGCGCTCGTACTTGTCGTTGACGATGTGGTTGCGGTTGTGAATCCGACGGCGACTTACACCAGCAGCCCACCAGACTGGCAAGCTTGGCGTCCAAGAAATGTGCATCCGCTGCGTCTGCCAGGTCTCGAACCCGTCAGTGACTGACCCCTTCGCTGCTCCTCGCTCTTGCTGGCCCTTGGCTTTGTCTTATCGTCTTATCCACGCTTCCCTTTCTCGGCTGCTCCTCTTCCTCTTCCTCCTGTTCGTGGTTGTGTGCGTGT